ATTTAACATTCAACAACAAACATTTAACACCCAACAACCTTTCAACCCAACACAACAACCTTATACCCCAAGCCAACACTATCATCAACCTTACCTATCATTTAACTCAACCCCCTTCAACACCCAACAACAAAACCCAACCTCTTTATACACCCAATATAACCAATACTCATTCCCTCAACCTACCCCACAAGAACACAACTACCAAACGCCTCAACCACAAGTTCCTTTTTACCCCTCACAAACCTTCACCCTTAATTCATCTCAAGACCAACATCCATACACCCCCTACATGACTAACACAATGTCACCTTCGAACCTACCAAGTTGGAGTAATGAGAGAACAAGATTAAGTTATGGCAGTGCGGCGACGATATCAACTGTGGACGATTTGAGTGATGATATGGTCGCTGAATTCATGAACTCTAGCAATGATGCATGACCTATTCTACACAGCCCGCAAACGTTGATATTGATCGTAGAAGGTCCACCAGAAATGTACACGCTCCTGCCTGTGGAACCCACCAACGCTTACGTCGACCGGGTCAAAATTAAAGGTGGATAGGAATTTTAATGTACTTTTTTAATTTCATGAATAAATAAATATTTATTTCAATTCATTTATTTTATTTTATTTTATTACTATTTTATTTTTTATTGTATATAGAATTATTAATTATTATTATTATCTATTTCATAATTATTATTTATAATTTAATAATTATTATTATTTTTCATAATTATTTAAATATATTACATAATTATTATTTTTATTTAAATATAGAATAAATAATATTATTAATTTTATTACTATTACTTTTTTAATATTTTAAATATATTATATAAAAAAATTAAATAATTAAAAGTGATATATTAAAACTTAAAGAGACAAATAAATTTTGTATACATTCGTCGACACTGCAGCCCATTGAAAGAGCGGCAATCGGCGGCTCATGAAAAAAAGTGACTCTTCCGCCAATTGAAAGGGTGACCCCTTTATGCCAAAAATATAACTTTTTTGAAACTATGGTAATATGGTATACAATTTGAAATTGATGGTATTATGAAAATAAATTTGTAATAACATGACAGAGTAGAAAAAAATTTATTAAATTTTTGATACACTCTGATTTTGACCATCCACAAATTACCAGGAGTATATTCGTACTAAGAAAATACTTGTGCCGAAAAAATTACAGATAAAATAAGCGTATTTATTTTTAAAATATAATAAAAATAAATTAAAAAAAAATAAAATTATTTAACTAACAGAATTTATTATTAAAAAATAATAATAAATTCATATTTTTAATTTTTCATATATAAAAATAATTTAATCAACACTATTTTTTTTGTTCATATTTTAATATTATTTACAACAATATTTTGATTAATAATAAACTTGTTTCTGTTATTATTTAATATATTTTGATCAATAATTTGATGTTTCTGTTATAATTATTTTAATTTGATATTATAATAAAATTATAAATTATGAGTTAATAAAAATTTATTTTTTATAGTTGATTAAATCATTAAAAATATTAATAACAATGAAAAAATTTAAATTCACAAATAAAAATCATATATTAAGTAATTTAAATCTTCATAGATCATTAAAACATATAAAGATCTTGGTAATAACAATTCAAAGCAAATCAAATTCCTCAATAAATTTGTTAAATCTGTTATGTTGGTATACATTTTAGATTTATGCTTAGTTTTTTTAAAACTTTATTAATTAGTCATTTTTTCCACTAAACAACTCAAACATCAGAAATTATATCTCTCTTATTTTCAGTCAAAGTTTGACTCGCTTAATTAGTATCATTTTTTATAATAATAATTTTAATCTTTTTATTTATTTGATATAAAATATAGTTGGTTTAAATTTAAGTCTTATACTGATTATTTCAATTAAAAATAAATAAAAATTTATTTGATGGGACTATCACTATAGAATTTCTTTTATATTTGATGGGATTAAACATACTCTAGTGCTATTATAACCACATGTGATAAATGGGTATGCCAGTCCTATTTAGGCTCATCTCACAAAAGTCTGTAAAAAAGTGAGACGGAGTGGGTAGTCATAAAATTTTTTTTCTACTTTAACTTAATATGCAACCAGTTACAGGTGAGCGGACAATAAAGATTTAAAGATTAAGTCTAATTTCGAAAAATCGAAAGTGACGATTCCTTTTTAATTAAATTATTTTTCTTAGAAGAAAATGTTGCCTAATAAGTAGTTCTATTTAGAGATGATAGGAGTGTCGGATTGATGAAAGCCACATTTTAGTATTACACTTTTGAATTTATTAAAACTTTGTTATTCTATTTTGTTTTTATCCCATAACCTTTTACAATCGCCTTAGATAAACACTGTAGCAATAGAAGGCGATAGATTGACCATTAGGTCTCTGTGGGATTTGAAACCTTTTATATTACTCTGATACACTATGTATACTTGCGGATAGCACGCATCACATGTCGTTGCCGCCTCCTCCAGCAGATGACGCCGATGACCAACAACACCTCTAGATAATTGTAGTTATTATGGATAACCTTATGGGTTTGGTAAACTCAGTTGGTGAGGTATATACTGGATTAGCTTGGGCTGCACACATAGCTAGTGGGGGGCCTATTTAGATACATTTTGTATTATTTGTATGAGTTGTATATTATTCATACATCTTCATCATAACACTTTATTAGCTAATAAAGTGTTAACTAACAATGAATTACATAACTTAACACTACAATATGATTAATAAATAAGATATACTTAAACAATACCAGACGCTTCAAGATGTTTCAACATCTCCATAATATCGTCAACGGATCTTGAAAGTTAAGCATCTAACTCGATCGACCCCTTTGTTATCCTATGGCGAAATGTTCTCTACATTTCCTTTACATTATCGTCGGTCTTCAACTCAATAAGGTTGTGTTTCACCCTCCCGTTAGTATCAATCCAATCTTTACGAAACTCGATCTTTCTCATCTTTCTGTTGTTGCCATCAGACAACAATTCATTCAATTTCGACATCAGGCCGCAAAAGGAGGTGGTGTCATCGGGAAGCCGAAACTCTACAGGAGGAAAACTCCGTTGAAGTACACTTCTACCTTAATTAAACAATATTGAAGAAGAAACATTTTTTCAGATGTGTTTATCAGCAACATGTGACCCTTATTTATACAACTTTGAATCTATTCTGAACCACACAAATTGTCGGTGCAATCACAATCATACAAAACTGTAGGCAAAATCTTGAGCATTCAATAAATCATAAAAACAAAACTACCTGAAATTTCAATTATGTTGTAATTTTCGGTATCACAACAAATTTTTTTGCACATTACCAGAAATTTCTAAATTTCCAGTACTGGAAATTTCAATCAATACTAGAAAATTTTAAATTTCCGGTGTATTGGAAAATTTCATTCAGTACCAAAAAATTTTAATAAGCCTATCGAAAATTTCATACTAAAATTTAGTGTGTTTTTCACTCAAAAGACAATTTTGACATTATGAAATATTGGAGTGTTAGATATAATTTAGGGGATAGCAGGTTAAATTCTTCAATATTATTTATAACATAATGCGAATTCTTTACATCATTGTCATACTATTAGAAATAAATAATTATAATGTCACACTTTTCAATCATATATATTAATATGTTATCATTTCAAACAAAAAATATTCTCAGTATAAGGTGCCGTCCATTGAATGAGCGACAACGTGTAAAATAAAGTAGGTTATGTCGAATGAATAGGCGGTAGTGTACAAGAAAAAAATGTGTCGCCCATTGCATGAACGACGTTGGTATAAATTTACAACACTGTCGCTCATTCAATGGACAACACCTTTTTTTCTTGTACACTGTCGTCCATTCATTGGATATAACCTATTTTATTTTACACACTGCCGCCTATTATACTGAGAATTTCTTTTGTTTGAAATGATGGCATATTGGTATATATGATTGAAAAGTATGACATTATTGTTATTTAATTCTAATAATATGGCAATGTTGTAAAGAATTCACATAATGCTATCAATGTTCACCCATCTCAATTTAACAAGAATAATTAGGTTGAATAAAAAAAGAGACAAATTCTTAAGTACTTATGATAAGTAGTTGGGTATTGGTATCTTAGTATAAAATAATTTAAGATATTAATTTGTTTTTAAATAAAAAACATATAAAAAGTACATGAGATTAAATAAAATTTTTATTAAATAAAAATATCAGTACTTAATTAAATTTAAGGGTACCCAAGTTTTCTCCTTAAAAAAAAATCAAAAATAAAATACTACACGAGCCACGTCATGTTTCTTAAATTGAAGTAGTATATATTGTGAAACAAAATTCTTAAATTGAGTTGTACGTAGTTGCTAATTAGAGGCTCCACATCATGTTTCCTTTTCACACTCCGCTTTGTACTCTTCCATGTTCTCTGCATCTCCTAAGACTTTCTTTCCAAGTTTTCACTTTTCAACAACACAATCCCAGATTTTTGTTTTTTGTCTAACATTTTTCCGTCTAAGTAATCTACTTCTATATGGTGTTGACTCATTAGGTCTTCCTCTTTGACTATACAGTTTATTTGCGCTAATCCAATAAATTATTCCGTTTTCTTCGCCGACCTACTATTGACTCTATTCTATTTTTAAATTACATTACATCGATACATGAAATTAAATGCATCTAGCTTCATTTTATTAATTACCCTTATGTCTCTGCTGAACCTTTTTTTTGTTTGTTTCTCTGTCTAAGTAAAAACCTTTAACCCACCCCATCACTCCTTGTTTGCTATTTTCACTGTTTCTCACATTCCTTATCTACAAATTCTGCCCAGGGTATTTAATACCCTTGTCTCAGGTTTTTGGGAACCACATCATCTTTTACTGTTATTTTTTTCCATTTAAAAGTTTCAACCCTTCGAGGCATAACAAAAAAGCAAGCTCTTTGTTTTGATTTAAGAATCCAAATATGGATGTAAGCTTTTTGTTTTCTCTTTTAGATTTGCTAAAGCTCATGAATAATGATTGATGGCTCATTTATGTTTGTTACTGATAGGAATATTGGAAGAGAAGTGGCCAAATACCAGCTTTTGGGAACTGGGATTTTGCAAATGAGTTGCCAATAACTCAGTATTTCGAGAATGCAAGACAAGCTGGTTTGATTCGTTATAGTTCTTCCTCCGGTGAAACTGATCCATACTTGTGTGGAGACGATCACGACCTCTATGCCGTTGATTCAAAGAAACCAGCTCCAAAGGTAACCTCTATTTGTTTAATTATTTTTTGTGATTACATAATAATCATCACTAGTCTAAGATGTGATTATGGAGAAATTTGTATCTTTTTAGTAATGATTAGTATATTTAGTCTGCAATATTGTGGTACAGAAATAAATGTTGTCACGAGTGATAATGAGCCATTGTTACTATTAATAATGTAATGGTTGAGAAAGGACATGAAATGTGAATAACACATGGGTCCTATTTATTACTGATAGTATTTCTAGTACATTTTGTTTGCTTCCGATAAGAACAAGTTATGTGATGTAGAAAGAGTGTGAGTTTCTGTATGGTTTATTATGTGCAGCAGGCGAGGAGAATAAAAGATACAAGGTACACCAATGCAATGGTTAATGATAAACAAACAAGAGTAAGAAAACAGTGGAAAGTGTACGATGTAACCGAACATCCCAGGAACCAGACAGTGAATAAGAACAAGGTGTTACATGTAAACGACGTCGTTAGTAGTGGCCATCATCAGTTAGCTTCAAAACAAGATCCAAAACCAGTTGATGAAGATCTGTATAAGATCTCCCCTGAACTTCTTCGTACAACCAAACGGGTTAGTCACTTTTTTATTTGTTGTGAATTGTGTTAAGCGTGATTTGATTCATACATGTTAATTTGATTTAAATAATGTTAATGTGCAGAAAAAAATGCTGGGTTTCATTTCCAAGTGCCTGGTTCCTGCTGCATGCGTTTCATGAGTGTCAATCAGCTAATTTGTTGGATACAATAGTATTTAATGTTATGTTATTTTATTAATTATTATAAAGGTAAATTTAAGTTTAAAATAGAGTTCTGTGACCAAGTTTTATATGTGTGTAATGGAACGGTACTGGTTGTGCAGTTTTCTTATGCACTTAGATGCCACAGGTGACTCTTTTGTAGGCTAAGAATGAATGAATCAAGTTATTGCTATCTTAAATCGTATTAGTCAGTAACTTTAAGGGTTTTAAGAGTTTAATGGTGATGTACTTTGTAATAAAAGTTTTACACTATCATCTAATAAAAAATATATTATTCTATTATGGTGATGTACTTATTATATAACAAAGTACCAACAGATTTTCTTATAAAGGTGCAGTTAGCACAACAGCAAAATAAAAAAAAATAATAACTAAATAATTTTACTAGCACAATAGCAAAATGTCAAAATAGTTATTTGCTTCTTAGAGTTCGATGTGATTAGAGATTTGCTAAGAAAGATGTCAAAATGGGTGACGGGTCATCTTGTTGTAGGATAAATTGCAGAATCGCTATTTGCAAAACTAGCAAGAATTAACTTAGTACTTGTTGGGTAAAAGAGTTCCTAAGCTGGGGAAGATTTTAAATACAATGCAAATGACAATTTGGTAGTGTGTAACATTTGGCTTAGATGCAAATTAATTAAATTGTTGTACGAAGAAGATTATAACTTTTAGGAATAGTCATATAAACCTCTTCAATTAGGTCTCCATGAAGAAAATTATTATTGACTTAGATGCCTTTTTTTTTTTTTTTTTTATAGAAGTTAAGGCAAGAAAAGTTCTTATAGTGATTAATTTAGCAATAATGGAAAAAGTGAAAGTAATCCGGACCTTCAAGTTGAGTGTAGTCTTTTACTACAAGTCTTGCTTTCTACCGTTTAATAGAACCATGATCAGGATACTTTATTCTATAGATTCATTTGTATCCAATGGGCATTTTGTTGGGTGGGAGGTCTATGGTTCAAGTGTTTGTTTGCTCAATGGCTTAAAGTTCATATTGCATGGCTTGAAGCTAACAATCAGATTTACTAGCTTGAGAGAAAGTATTGGATTTAGAAATGGAGGAAATAGAAAGACATAAATTTTTATAAAGGATATTGCAATTGTTGTAACAAACGATACCAATTAATAAATTTTTGATTGAGAAATAGAGTTTCTTGATGAATAATGAAACAGTTAGGTTAACAAAGAGAGAGAGAGAGAAGAAAGATAGAAAATAGGATTGGACAAATTGTTTTTCTATTCACTTACTCAATTAGGGTACAAATGATTACAAGTGAATAATAACAATTGACTTCTCTCAACTACCTGAGAGATTTAACTTATTTATAGGCTACTAAGTTAAATTAACTTAAATAACAAGCTAACCTAAACAATTGGATTCAAACAACAAGAATTCGACATAATATTTCAACATTAAATATTGTCGCTCCTGCGAAAAACAACCGGCAGAAAACAGAAGAGTCGCCATTTTCGTTATTTATCCCACGGAGAGGGAAAGGAAACGATCGGAAAAACCTAATGAAAAAAGGGAAAGACAAGGTCATTGCAACCATGTCTGGATTCGGGAGTCGGTTACGCAAGGGGAAGGTATGAGCACCCCTCACGTCCGTCGTACTTGATGGGATCCACGCTTGTATTGTCTAGTCTATGGGTGAAAAAAACAATCTATCTACGGCTGCTAAAGCTAAACGAAAAGAACTGACTCGATATAGCATCGTCGCTCTATGCCTACGTATTCCCTCGTGCAATGGGAAAGTCAGAGTCAACGTAATTCGGGAAACTACGGGGGAATTGCTCGCCAAGACATCGCGTCTCGTGCGTACGTATTCTCATCTGGCATGAGAGATCAGAGCAAAACGTAGTTCAGGCTAAATACGGGACGAAAGGGTGTTCTCGATCACACGGGGGTGAGAGAAAAGATTGACGATACTAGCGTACACATTCTAGCAGTTAGGTGTATTGTTGCTTGACCATTGGAGACTTAGGCGTTACCTGTTTGCGGTAGAACGGACGTAGTATGTCGGGGTTTAAAGGTACGGGAACCTACGAGTTCTAGAACTACGGTTTGGTCTCGATTGCGCTAGGGAAAGAGAAAGGGAAGCTTAGTCGTCAGCGGGAAAGTCTCGATCGCACGGAAGCGAGAGAACAAGGAAGTTAGTTGTTAGTGTGCTCGCTAGGAAATCGCATCCTATGCCTACATATTCTCGTCTGACACGAGAAATCAGAGCAGCTGCAGTTCAGCCAACTATAGAAAAACGGTCTCAATTGCACGGGGGCAAGAGAAGGGAGCTCAATCGCCAAAATGCGAGAGAAAATGGGAGGTCACAATCGCCAGGACGCGAGAGAAAAGGTTCGGAACGGGACGCACACATTAAGTCCTAGACGTAGGAGCGAATGCGTCGCATATCGTCCTAAGGACGTATACTAAACACTATAGATGAGGGAGAGGAAACCACTCACTCATCATTTCCCACGTATCTAACGATCTCACAACGCTCGACGGTTGAAAAAAAAGAGATGAAAGAAGTGAAATAAAAACAATGTTACCGAACGGAGTGGTTCCGTTGACCCCTGACTTTTGCGTGCAAATTCCATTTCCAAGCTCTACTCTTTTATCCTTGATGATGACATTTTGAATCAAAACCAATGTGACGCTGAACCATTATAATTCGACTTATAAATGAAGTCAAATCCCAAGAGGCAGCGTATTGATATCCATATCAAAGACAAGATAGAGAAATGATATTGAGAATCATTCTCCAATTGAATCATGTCACACGGACAGCACAACAGAAAAGCAAAATAAAATAAGAAGAAGAAGAAAAGATGAGGAGAGAAAAAGCGGTCTCGGATCCTACATTATCCATCAACATTTTGATTTATAACGCTTTACGGAGGTCTCGTCATCGACCTACAAAACAAAAATGGTGAGAAAAATCCAATTATAAAATGGAAATAAGAAATCAACTTCAAAAGTGAAATAAAGTTTATAAAGGAAAAATAAATCCCAAAAGGAATATAAATAAATTGAGAAGAAAATAGAATATAAAAATATAATATATAAACTCTATATAAAATATTAACATGTAAAATATTCTAAAAAAAATGTAATATCTAAAAGAAAATAGTAAAAAAGTATATACATATAATAATAATAACATACACAGAAATCCAACTTACATATTACATTAACAAATAATTAATAAAAACAGGATAGGGGTGATAGTGAAACAAAGGGGGTACAGTGGGAATCCATACGGTGGGCTCAAAGCCCACAATCACAACACAAAACAGCAACATAGGGGGAGGGTGCAAGGAGGAAAAATGGGGTTTCAGTCCAGCAAACTGGTTGGGCTTGGCCCAACAAAGTAGCAACAAAAAAAAACATAAACAAAACAGCCATAGGGGGGCGCAAGCGGAAACGGAGGGTAGACTGAAGAAAAAACCATTAGGCCGAAGCCCACTAACCAATTCAGGAAAGTCCACTAACTTCTTCCCTCTTCCTCACTTCAGTTTAACAGAAAACCCTAGCTCTTTGTTTCTTCTATCTCCGTCACCGCCGTCTCCCTCTTCTTTCTCCGTCTCAAACTTTTCGCCGTCCTCTTTTGATCCTAGCTTCTTCTCCAAACTCCCCCATCTTTTTGTATTCAAAATCTTCTTCTGTTCAAGCAGACAACAAAAACTAAACTAAAAACACAAATCCCAATCGAACATCACTTCCTGTTGAATGCAATGACCTTCGAGGCATGACAGGTGAAGATTTGTCGGACGAGGATGGTTCAATTGGAGCTTTTGCAGATCTAGAAGTTTAAGGTGATGAGATTTGGACGAAGACGATGATTCGATGATGTTGTTGTGGATGGCGCAAGCTGATGATGAATCTATGGTTCGGTTGGTGTTAAAATACGTTGATGTTGCTTATTCCGATGAAGTTGCATGTTGATTGATGTTGAGGTGAAGGAGGTTGAACGAAATCTGGGCTTTGAGTGGTTTGGATCCAGAGATGTTGAAGATTGATTGTAGATCTATGAGTTTGAAGGTGTTGAGATCAATGACGTTTGTGGTTTTGGATCAAGCAAAATAATTTCGTCATGTGAGATCTGAAGATATGTTGGATGAACGTAGATCTGGAGAGAAAAAGTTATGATGGATGAAGAATCTGGAAAACGTTTATGAACACGTGATGAAGTTTTGTTGAATATGGAAAAGATCACTAGGAAATCGGATGAACATAATGAACATTATTGAAGTTGGTATGAAGATTCGAAGGAAATCTGGAAAAGTATTATGAACAGGATGAGTTTAGTATGAGTTCTGGAAAGAAGATAAAGAACACATGAAGAACATATGAATATGATGAACATCGATGAGCATCTGGGAAAATGAGGAAGGCGATAAATGTGGATGAATATTTGTATGAATGTTCAAGTGAAATCTGGAAAAAACGACCGGAAGTTGTATGAGAATATGAACATTCTGGAAAAATGAGTATGAACATGAAGAACATGGATGAATATTCCGGCGGGTGATGAATTTTTCGGTGAAGGTTCAAGAGTTTTCCGGCGAGGGTTGGATCCGTGTGATTTTTCCGATGAAGCGGAATAGTGTTTGCATGTTATTGGTGGTGAGGTGGCGGCGTGGCAGACGGGCGTCAGTCATGGGGACGCGTGCAATTAATGCTGAGAGAGAGAGAGAGAGTGAACAGGCTATTTATAGCCTGACACATGGCCTGCGGAAAAAAAAAAGCTGCATTGGACCGGATTAGTTGACATAATTAAATGATAAAGCTGATAATTAATTAAAATTAACATTAAAGTTGATCCAACATTAATGCAAGAGCTGGCTTGATTAAAGAAAAGCAGATTAACTAATAATAAACTAAAACGAAAATTAAAAGCTGATTATTAAACTAACTACTAAAACTATTAATAACAACTAATCAATTAAGAAGTTCT